ATGTGATATATGGCAACTTATCATTGCTAGTTGAAGAACAAACTAACACACACCTGTTTGCTTCCTTGATAGGGCTCTTACAAAAACCTGCCAAGTAGTTGCACTGGCCGCAGAGATCCAGCCTTAGTAAGTTGTTCTGTTAGTTCATAAGTCATGGTTGATGTGCACCTGTCCAACTTGGATTGGCTTTGAGGGAGTAAATTTCCTATCTGGTCCTAAAGTTCTTAGCTCACTAAGTTTGTAATGTGGATTATAGTTTTAAATTTCATGTTTGACTCGCAAAAAAATAATCATGTTTGACATTGGACAATTATCATGTCAGTATTTTGGTCAGTTTTTCTGCAAGATTTGGCAGATGTCTAGTGTGAATAAGATTTGAAATAATTACATAAATATGACCAAAATAAAGATGGTTTACAAAAATATGATTCATTAATAGAGTAGTAATGAAATCATAGTAATTCATGTTCAAGTTTTGAACTTTAGTTACCACAGCACTACGTTGTAGTAATGAATAGTCATATTTATGTAAATAAGTTTTATTTTAGTAATATTCTCGTAAAAAACCCATAAGATTTTGTTTCTCTCTAAAAAATAGGTTTAGGGAACAATCAAATTGCCCTTATTCACGCTCCTTGTCTATTTTGAAAGGATTGAAGATAATATGGTACTTTTATGATGAATTCTGAAACTATTAACACATTTTGGAGCAAACCAAAACATAGAGTATGTCCACTATTGCTGACCCATTCTGTTTTGGTTTTACACTTCTAAAAGTTATATGATATGGATCATATATATTCACTATTTTGAATGAATGCAAGTTGACCTCTATTATCATAACTGGGTTGAGGTTACCCAGCTGGCCTATAAAGTAAATAAGTGAAACTATTCTAAAAGATTGATCTCATCAACTAGCTAAGTCTAACCCAAAAGCATTATAAACTCATATGTTCCTTTCTCTAATATCTCAATGTGGACTCTTAATACATCGGGTATGCCTGCCCTTTTAACAATATATTTATTTTATTTTTTATTTCTAATGTTTTGTGTGCAATTCCTTTTCCTTTTCAGTGCTTCTTTCCTCAGTATGTGATTTCCGATCTCAAAACCCCTCTCTTTATTCTCAATGCTGCATATGATTCATGGCAGGTATTATTTGGTAAATGTATATTTTCTTGTTTCTGAGGTATTGATTGATTAATTGATTGATTGAATTCACTTTAAACTCTAGATCCAAGCCAGTTTAGCACCTTCATCAGCCGACCCCAATCGCAAGTGGTATGATTGTAAACTTAACTATAAACAGTGTTCTGGGTCACAGATTGAATTTTTCCAAGGTACGATATGTATGTAATTTCTTATAAAACATCTCACACCAAATAAATATAAAAAATACAAACTCAGATATATAGTCTTGGGCCATGTATTGATATTCTTTTACAGTATTGGTTTTGTTTCTTGAAGTTGAGTTGTGTATGGTGAGATCCATTATCTTACTGCTTAAACTTCCGTGCAGGGTTTAGAAATCAAACACTACGAGCTACACGACGTTTTGCCAGATTGAGAAAAAACGGGTTGTTCATAAACTCATGCTTTGCGCACTGCCAATCAGAGAGGCAGGATACGTGGTTAGCTCCGAACTCCCCAGTTATTGGTAAAAAGGTATGCCCTGAATTTGGTTATTTTCTTCGGTAGCGTGCTGTTGCTTCACCTCTAACTGAAACTCATCATCATCATCACCATTACCTACGGTGGGTAAGGGGGTTGGATATACGCAGCCTTACCCCTGTACTAACTCACAGAGAGACCGATTCCGAATGACCTATAATGAAAATTGCGTCGAAAATTGCATGGACTGACTATTGGTTCATAACAAAGAAGCGCAGACAGTTTAGTGAGTCATTTTGCTATATTCCATCAGACTTTCAATCCAAAAAATAGTGACTCTTTAGCTCCATTGCAAATGATGGACTCTAATTGAAACTATATATAAAAAAATAAGCTCCTACCCCCGCCCTATCCTTTAATGAATGTTTAATAATTTCTAATTTATGTTTAGAAAAAAATATAAATTTGATCCCATAATTGTACGCACTTATAGGTATGGTTCAATAACTAATAAATTTGTTCGCATGAGGTTTCTTTCCATATTAAAAGTATGTTTTTTGACAGAAAACTTGACGACATGCTTTCTGGTGTGTTTTTTGCCGTAACGTTTACCTCCGGATGAAATAGTTCTGAATATGAATAAATTTATTAATTAGACAAGTGTGAGTAAAGTCATACGATTAATAGTGGTCACAATCAAAAGGTCAATCAATCATCATTTACCCCAGTGCTGCAAAGGCTCCCACCTACGGTGGGGTAAGGGGGGGTCGAATGTACATAGTCTTACCCTTGTACTAAAGCACAAAGAGACTGTTTCTGGATGACCCATAATGAAAATCGCGTCCAAAATTGCATGGACTGACTGCTGCTTCATAACAAAGAAGTGTAGACAGTTAGGTGAGCCATTTTGTTTTATTCCATCATACTCTCAAGCAAAAAAATAATGAATCTTTGGTTCTATTGCAAATGATGGAAAGGTCACAATCAAAAGGTACGAGCTTAAAATAACAAATCTCTCTTGACTCTTAAAAGTACAAAAGTATACGACCTCTGTCCCAAAAAGTTCTTCCCTGTTTGATTTGGATCAGAGTGTAAGAAAATGGAAATGTATGGTTGTGGACCTGTGGTTGATTAAGAAATAGGTAAATGAATGTTAGCCACACAATACTTGCTAAAAAGGGAAATGAGAAGAATTTTTGGGACATCCTAAAAAGGTAAATGAGAAGAATTTTAAGGGATAGAGGGAGTATCTAAGATTGTAGAAATCTTGGTGGAATATACATCTCACTTAAGAGATTCTTTATTCTTAAATGAAGAGGGAAAAAGTTGTAGCTAACCATTGAAGTACATATTACTTTGAAGCAATACATGACAAAAACACTGTAGTTGTATCACTTGTATGGTTTATCATTGTATGAATACTATATATACTTGTGCATCATTTTTGCCATTTAGATATTCATTGATTTCCACACAAAATGCAGACGATTGCACTTGCCGTAGGGGATTGGTATTTTGAACGAGCTGTTGTTGCCAAATACACCGATTGTGCGTACCCATGTGGCAGCAGGACTTGTCACAACTTAGTGTTCAAATGAACCACCATTTTTATGTTATCTTCATACATACCAAATATACATACTTGATGAAACTCTTTGTCAGTGGTTTCAGTCCCCAATAATTTAAAATTTACATAGGTCAAGCAAGTCATTTTACCTGTGAATTTGAGATGTAATACAGGCCACTGCTCATCCATAGTACACCGGGGGGGGGGGGGGGGGGGGGGGGGTTGTAACTTTTTCTTTATTATTCAAAACACGATTATTCATTTTGTTGTAATGTTTGTGGTGCAAATGGCTGCAGTTGAGACGCGAATTTGTTGTTTAGCCTAGAAGTCCCAACTTTCATACTTGAATTATTACTGTTTGTTGTGATTTTGGCCCAAGTGTTGTATAATTTTCAATTTAGTCACGACTTGCAAAACCCATCTGTTCAACATCAGCCTCCTTCGTGTGGTACTGTGATTGTGGTGGTCATTCCTATAAAAAAACATCCATTTAACCGTGTTTTTGTAAGCTTGCTATGATAGTATGATGTTCGCTAGTTCATTTTTTTTCATTCTAAAATATAATAACTCCGTATATGGCTATTGTTACTATGTGAATATGTTAATAGACAGTAAAATTGAATATATTCTCAAATCACAATAGTCACTATAATTATTATGATGATCACTCAGTAGTAATAGTTTCATTTATCACTTATTTTAGTCATATATTGCCTAGGCATGGACCCGGGCCGGGTCGGGCCCGGGCCGGGTCAAGGCCCGGTCGGGCCTCGGGTCCTATAACGGTAGGCCCGGGACCGGCCCGGTCAATGACCGGTTCCGGTTCGGGCCGGGTCACCCGCCCGGGTCACGGTTAGGGCAACCCGCCGGGCCGGGCCGGGCCAGTACAATTTTTTTTTTATTTATTAATTATATATTATACAAATTGCTATTAAAAATAAAGTTCAAGTGCATTTATTTGAAATAAGAACTACATTTGAGAATTGAGAAAAAAATAACAATACGAAATACATTTTGTAAATTGTAATGAATATCAATTGGGATTTCCGCCACCGTTGGTTGTTGTTTTCCCTTTGTCACAGGACTTCATATGTTTTATTGGCATCCCGTATCCGTATGAACGCCCCAAGCAACAGTCTTTCTTGCACCACCTGCAAGTTGCCCACCACAGTCCGGTCTTCGGGTCCTTCCACTTGTCAAAATTGTTTTGCATAAGGGAAGATGTACTTTCCATATTTAAAATGGTATATGTATAAGTAGGAATGTAGGATAATAAGAGAAAATGAAGATGGAGAAGAGTTTGAGAAGAATTGGAGAAAAGGTGTAGAAAAATGTTAGAAAATAGATGTATTTATAGGTGTTTTTGAACCCCACTCCCCACACCACCACCCCCGGGACCCCCCTGCCCCCCACCCATAGCCCCAACGGCTATATAGCCGTTTGGGAGCTTTTAATTTTTTTTTTTTTTTTTTTAAGTTATACACATATTGTAAAATAAATTAATTAATTTAATGAATTAAGTAAAACTAAAACAAATGTTACAAAATAGGTGTATAAGTATTTAAACAAATTACATATTCTAAATGTACTTTTAATTTAAAAACCGGCTTTATATTCTAGAAAAATAATTTTAAGTCGTTAGATTGTAACCAATTAATTAATTTGAGAAGTGCTACATATGAAAAAGTGAACACATATTTATTTGAAATATGAAGTACAAGTTTACAAATTAATTTGAACTACAACTACAAATTTACAATTTTGAAATATGAAATACAAGTTTACAATTTTGAAATATGAAGTACAAGTATAAATAAATTTGACAAGTGCTATAAAATACATTTTGTAATAAATTCTAAAATACTAATCAATCGGAATCTCCGGCATAGGTAGAGCCACCATCGGTTGTTGAGTCATCAATAAAATCTTGGGAGGGGGTGATGCTCAATTCTTGAGTTCTACGTGCGGCCTTCAACCAATCGTGGTAGCATATAAGCGTCTCAAGAGACTCCGCGCTCAATCTCGATCTAGATGCCGTTAGGACGTTGCCGGCCGAACTAAATTCTTGTTCCACCGCAACTGTTGAAACCGGCATTGATAGTACTTGCTTAGTCATCCGTGCTAAAATCGGGAACGTTCTTTCTTTTGACTTCCACCAGTCTAGAACGTCAAAGTCATCATTTTCTTCAAAATCAACTTCATATGTTAAATACAAAGTAATCTCATTCAATGCGCTTTGTTCAGTGACGTGAGTTGTTTTAGTTTTTTTCATAAGATTGCCAAATGCAGATTTAAAAATCGATTTTCCTTTAGATGAAGATGTTCGTGACGGGGGAGGGGGAGCGTTGCTATATTGTGCACGAAATTCATTAAATAAGGCATAAAATAAAGTACTAACCTCGTTGTATTCCGTTTTCGGATCTATGGGGTTATCGTCATACATTGGAAATTCACCGAAAAACGCAAGATAATAGAAGTTGAAACAATCTTCCAAATTAGCAAGTCTATAACGAGGATCGAGAATAAATGCAATACCATAAATATGGGGAATATGCGCATAATATTTTAAAAACTTTTCCTTCATATGATCACAAAAATAATGAACGAAAACGGCAATTTGAAATTCTTTAAAAGCATCGGCGAGATTAACAGCTTGTGGAATAAATTGGTTTGCGGTAGGTTTATAAACATGACTAAAAGTTTTAGTAGCATTAAAAAAATATATCAAAACATTACAAATTTTTTCGCCGGAGCCCCGTCCGGCCTCCTCCATTTGGGGTCCTTCCCGGTGGTATTTTTTGCTCAAATTTTTTGTAGGTTCCTCATCAAGTCTAGTTCATCCATACCAAATTTCAGCCAAAAATTCAATCGGGAAGGTCGTCAAATGATTTTTGCAAGTTAACTGGTCCGGAATATGTATATTCCGGAATATGTATATTCCGGACCAGTTAACTTGAAAAAATCATATGACAACCTTCCCGATTGAATTTTTGGCTGAAATTTGGTATGGATGAACTAGACTTGATGAGGAACCTACACAAAAAATTTGAGCAAAAAATATCACCGGGAAGGCCCCAAGTGGAGGAGGCCAGACGGGGGGAGTGGTCAGGCCTGGCCGGACCTGAATACTGGTGATACTACAAATATAATAACATTGGGTGATATTAGTTGTTTTTATGGTGGCTGCTAAACATGTTTATAACTCTTTCATAAATGTGGGGGTGTGATTTTTTAATAATCTATTTTAATGCCTTTGCAAAAATAATTATTTTAATGCCTTTCAAGAAAAACAAATTTATTTTAATGCCATTTTGTCTATTTTTTCTTTTTAAATAAGTTATGTAATTTATTTTTTGTGCATTTGAAAAATTACATTTCCTCTGTATTTTAAAGTTTGCTACAATTTCTTATTTAATATGTATTTAAAAGTTTTTAAAGTTTTTTCTTTAAAAATACTAAGTTACTCTTACTTTTTCTATTTTTTATTTTCTACTTTTCCAGATTCTCTCCTACTTAATTTACACTATGCATCACCCTTATTATTTTCTCATTAGATATTGTGTCAAAACTTAATGTGGTGATCTTTTAAATGAGGGGGTGTGACTTTTTGGGGTTATATCTGTGTAATGGGCTTTTTAACGTTTAGTCTTGAATGTATAGCTTAAACTCTCATATACTTTTACCAATTTTTGTCAACTACTCCGTACAAAATTTTAAAATGCATTTTAATTGTAATTAACCTCAATCAATAATACATTTGACATAATATCATTATTGGTCGGGGTTCTGGATGATGGCGTTAAGGATGGGACCTGTCCAGTCTCTAATGGTTTTTCGATGATATCAAATATCTGAGATCGAAAAAAATTCATTTACATTTAGCTCGAGTCAGCTTTCGTTAGCTCGGATTCGGTCTAGGATCGAATAGAGCCGGTTAAGGACCAATTGAAGAATTATCATATTTGAGTATTGTTTAATAATGCCATAACACACTTGCACATATTTGCACACCCCCTGATTTGCCATTTTACCCCGGCAATTCGTGTAAAAAATGCAATTCATATAATTGCATAGTCATCATATTACTTGAGATGTTTATACTTAGACTTATTTCAGTCTCAAACCAAACCAAACTTAAACAAAGCAGACCCAATCATGCTTGAATATTAGAAATAGTAGAAGCACGTTATTTGAACACTTTCCCACAAATTTAGATTCAAGTATAATTCAAGAATGACATAACACACTTTCACATATTTTACTCCCTTATTTTACCTATTTGGAGAGACAATTCGTCTAAAAATGCAATTCGTGTAAATTTATAGTCACATTATTACTTAGTCATTATAGATAATTTACCTTCAATTAATTTATATAAACCTTTGATTTTCGGCAGGTGTTGCCGGTGATACCTAATGAGAGTGAGTAGACATGATGTAGTCAATGCGACGATTAATTCATCATATATGTGGCCGGAACAAGACTAATCCATCATATTCTTGCGATTTGAAGGTCTTTACAAATTGGATTGCCAACATTGGTGACACTGTTGCGGGTGAAAGTAATGATGGTCATGTTCGTATTATTCCTGAAGATCTATTGATACGCACAGATGGAGATCCTATAGCTGTGAATGTTGAAAGCATATTTTCGGAATATGTTGAATCTGCAGGTGATATGAGTTGTTTGCGCAACCGTGCAATTTTGGCACAGACACTGGCTGTGGTAGAATCTACCTTAGAAACATTGACCGTGCATTAATCCTTCTAATTGTTGATAAATATGAAGGAAACACTGACAAGGCTCAGAATGTTGTATTCAAAGAAGTGTTTAACAATGTTTAGATTTACATTAAATGCATATTTATAATGTTATGGTTTCAACGTTTTTGTTGGATATTTTTTATCTTTTAAGTAATGCTTAGTACCCTCATTTTGACCATATTGTTATAAGTGTGTTTCGTTTAATACTTTGATATATATGAGCATTACATAAAGATAGATGTTGTCATCAATTGAATGTGATTGAAATTACTAAGCACACATAAATTTGAAAAAAAAATCTCAAACCGTGCATCGCACGGGTGAGTTTACTAGTATTAATAATAACAATAATAGTAATAGTGTCGTTAATAGTATTAGTAATGGTTATAGTAATAATGATAATAGTAACCGTAATAGTAATATAAGGGAAAATTCATGAAACAGGAGAGTAAAAGCGTTCACGAATTTCAAAATATGACTACTGTGTTTTTCTTTCTTAAATTGAAGTATGTTACTGCCATTCTATAAATAAACTACCATGTTGGCATTACTAAACGTTAAACATAACAATATATTGCCAACAATGGCAGCATTTTCAACGCTTGACAACAATTACTCCTATTTAGGGAATAAAAATATAACAACTTTATTTTAGAATTCCAGAACTCTTTCACTCCTAATTAGGGATATTTCTTTAATATCAAGAGGAACATCTACAATAACAACAACAACAACGACAACAACAATTATAAGATTAAATTCCAAAATCGCCGTTATACAACTATACATAATCATATACTGATAGGTCGAGATTTATGAATATTAAGATCGATGATAGATATAATGAATAGACACAGGAACATTAAGAGTTTTCATGTGTTGTTAGTATATTATACTATCATATTAAATATAATAGAGTTAATTAATACAATATTATAAAACAGGTCGGTCCAAGTACTAATTTTTTCATATTTTAAGACTCGTTGAGTTCCTAAGTTGTAAATAACCCGCCTGCCTTGTTTGGCTTTTCTAAAATTAGGACGTAGCCCTAACCCGCACCTAACTTGTATTATCCGGCCCGACCCGCTTCCTATACACGTTTGTCCACCCTTAATTGACACCAATTGCACAAAAGATAGTTGGAGTTGTTTGGCCCGTGGGCCGCTTACAATGGTGTCTTTTAGTGATATTGTTGTTGCGTCAAGTTCTAGTTAAATTTTACTACTTCGTATAAGTTGAATATTGTCATGCCAAAGTCAAGGGTGGAGACATGGAGGGACTGGAGAGGGCTCCTTCCCCCAAAGAAAAAATTTCAATGTACATATATATAGTATGTATAAATTTTTTTAATCTAGAAAAATATTGATATACTCCGTATTATGGTTTGACCCCTGCAATGTAATTTTTTTTTAGATTCCTGAATTAGCCACTCGCCAAAGTTATTCATTATCTATATAGGCTTTGTTTGCAATCTCTGTTGATAAGTGCTTTTGGCTTTTTTTTTTAAAAAAAAAAAACACTTATTTTACCAAACACTACCAACTTTTACTATCTCGGTTTTCGTGTAGAATCTACTTTTTACTTTTTCTATTACACAAAAAACACTTATTTTACCAAACACTACAAACTTTTACTACTAATCACTTTTCCCCAAAAAGTGCTTTTATTTAAGCACAAGTGGTTGCAAACAACAACCATTCTTGGTGTACACGTTTTTGTACCCATCAGTACACGCATGTGTCTGTGAGAGTTTTTTTTTGTCTGTGAAGCGCGGTCCACAGACATAAGTTCGTTTGTTTTGTCTGTGGAAAATTTCACAGACAAAACAAACCAGGTTTTGTCTGTGGACCGCACTTCACAGACAAAAAAAAACTCCCACAGACACATGCGTGTACTGATGAGTACAAAAACGTGTACAAAAGGAATTTTTGTGCAAACAAAGCCATAGGCCACATCCGCTTTTGTGGTATGCTGGGATCATCTTCACTCTCTTTAATGTGATCGATCCCATTACGGGCGAGAAAAAGAGTTGGCCGACTAGTGCCTAGTGCCCTAGTGTTGCACACTGTTAGTCCGTTACCCACACATATTGAGTGGGGTGGTTCTATTTGCAGCCCTACATTTGCTAATCACAGCCACACTATTAACTTAAATACCTATTTTACCATTCTTGTTAAATCAAATCCATTGATACGAAAACCTTCGTCCGCCAATTTGTCCTACCTGATATGTGCCCTTGAAGCTATGCGTGGATGCAGATGAAGAGACCTAAGAGAAACGAATCTTCCAAGAACAGATCGAACCATTGAGGCTCCTTGAATTTCTTTTTATAATTTAAGACCTCAAAATTTTCCATTTGTTCACGTTAGGGGAAACCCATAAATTTAATTTGTTTTTTTATGTTATCTTAATGGCATCACTCGAAAGATTTTGATTATTCGAATTATATAGTCTAACAAATACGGAGTATTATATATTCAAATTATTTGATTTGGTATGTATGGTATCATAAGTTCATAACCCTATGCAACACCTGGGTATGGAGGATTTCAATTGCTGAACTTCATTATTTTGCTTAATCTTAAAGGAGAACCACTATGTTGGCCAGATAGTGAAAAAGAGAAATGAAGATAAACAGTATAACTTGTGATTTGTGAATCGATCTTCAATTACATAATACGGAGTATTAATTATTCTTTAATTATTCCGCAAATACATTTTTTTTATAAAAATTGTTCTGCAAATACATAAAGAATGCAATATAAAAAAAGATCCTACAACTCTATGAATGCAATAACATTATTGGTGCAAAGATCTGAATTTAGTTCATTAGTTAAGTGGGGAGATGTGAAATTCAAAGAGATGCAAACTTTTGGAAAGGAAAATAAGGCTTTTGCCGGCCTTGGCTCGTCGCATGATCGCATCGATCACTTGTGGAATATACAGGAGGAATAGTTATACGGAGTACTAAGGATAAATTAGACATTTTAATTAATTGGTGACTGCGTTTAGCAATTCAGAGGCTTGAATAGAATTCCCCATTGAGTGGTGATATATAGCTGCGCTTGAAATAGTGAAATACAATGGTTCAACCTACCTATATTGGTTTTGATAGGATTGGATTGGATTGAACTAGGCTGAAAAGTAATTATTGACTTATACGGAATACATTAATAGGGTGAGTGAGTTGAATATGAAAAAAAAATTACACTAAACAATTTGAAAAAATTGTGTGGCTATTGGCTTGAGCTAATGTAGACCTAATAGATCCCCGCGAAGATTAACCATGCAAGTTTTGGTTAGGACTTAGGGTTGTGATTGAATGTCCGCCCAACCGCCATGAAATGGTTTCTAGCTAGTTGCATATTCCATGAAACATATGGTGTAGATATGAGTTTAATTTGGTCAATTTGGAGAGATTTAGAGCCCGTCTCGTACTCATGTTTTTTCGGCTTATTAGACTTATCAATCAATTTTTTGCACCAAACACGTAAGTGTTGATTCCGCGCGCTGATTTGTGTAATAATAAGAAAAGTAAGGTTATAATTACTATTTTGATTGTATTGGCTGAGTTACCGTAGAACATAATTTTAACTATTTTTTCATATATATTCTTTAATTAATAAAATGTATTTTAGATATTATTTTTTCATGAATCAGCAGAATCAGTCAATTAAACCATTTCAGCCAAAAGTTAATAAAATTCAGCAGAATCAGTCAATTCAGCCGATTTTGGTAATATCAAACGGCCTCTTAGAAGTTGTGGTTGTGTTTAAATTATCACCGGTGATAAGTCCGTATTTAGACACGCATTTGATGCGTGTTGAGATCGGCTTTTGATGGTTTTCCCAGCTTTAAGGTGTCACAAGTCTCAATTTTAGCTCAAGTTATGTTTACCGGGCGTTGGTTCGAGTTTTGTGTTGTTTGTAGTCAAAATCAGGGAATTTGAGCCCGGTACCCGGCACTTGAGGAACAATCAGGATGATTTGAGCAGCATTTGAGAATGATTTGATAGCTTTGGAGGTCACCGGAAGATTCACGATGAAGATTTGAAGGAAAAAGAGCTCTAGGATTGGCTACGGGGTCAAAAGAAGATGAATGAAGCTTGAAAACGACGATCAGGATGACCTTCTGTCAATCGTTCAAACATATCTCTTTGTAGAAACATCCAATGTACACGATTCAAGTTCCATATGAAATATAACTTCAAGGGCTACAAATGATATGAAGACACCTTTGCGAGAATCTGAGAGAAAGAAGGTGAAAACAGACGATGACGTCAGATGATCTCTGCTGCGATTTCAGAATGATACCTTCCACCGTTTTGATCATATCTCTTGATTGGATGATTCAAATCACATTCGGCAAATTGGGGTGGATAGATGACTTTATTATCTACAACTTTGATAAAGGAAGTTGTAACACCGCCCCCAAGTATTTGTACTTTATCAAATTAAGTATTGAACCCGAGAAATGAATAAACGCATTTTAAGTGATTGTGAATTTTTATCATTTCTTTTACGTGAATAGTAAAATTCACGTGGGGCCCACACCGGAAGTGGGGGCCGTCCGATATTGCCGGGACCACATATTATATTCGTTTGGGTCGAGATAATATGTGTAAAATGGTGGATGTCCTTGTTGGGCCATAGAACCTTTGTGAGCAACCAGTTGTGCATGTGAAGCCCATTTATCGGTACCGAGGTAATATTAGATAAAAAGCCATAATAAATTATGGAGACCATCAAAGTAAAAGTTGGGAATATACATTCATTCTTATAGCCAATATTAATTGGAAGAGTGATAGACATTTCATTTTACCCGATAAAATGAAATATAGTTAAAACAGTCCGGAAAATACGCAGCCGTCTCCCACTTCGCGTTCACTGGGAGCTCTTACGCCTTCTCCCACTTCATCAGGTTGAAAAATGGCTGTCCCATTGCTTGACAAAAAGATCGTGAAGAAGCGTGTCAAGAAGTTCAAGAGGCCACAAAGTGACAGATACATTTCTGTCAAGGAAAACTGGAGGAGGCCCAAGGGTATCGATTCTCGTGTGCGTAGAAAGTTCAAGGGATGCACTCTCATGCCAAACATCGGTTATGGTTCTGACAAGAAGACCCGCCATTATCTGCCTAATGGTTTTAAAAAGTTTGTTGTGCATAATTCCAAGGAGTTGGAACTTTTGATGATGCACAACAGGACTTACTGTGCAGAGATTGCACACAATGTGTCTACCAAGAAAAGGAAGGAAATAGTCGAACGTGCAGCACAGCTTGATGTTGTTGTCACCAACAAGTTGGCTAGGCTTCGCAGCCAGGAAGATGAGTGATCAACTTTTATGTAGTGTTTTCAGAGATGTGTTTCCTCAACCTAGTATTATATTTTTATGTTTTTGTGCTTTGCTTGCACCTTGACCGTATGCCAAATTTTTGTTGCATTTCTTTAATATATTATAGACTTCACATCTCTTTCCTTTGCAAATGTGTCTTGATGTTTTGATCTACCCAGCTGAGTGTTTTCAACATTTTTTAAAAAAAAAAAAAAAAAAAAAAAAAAAAAAAAAAAAAAAAAAAAAAAAACAGTCCGGAAAATACAACTTTCGGGACCGAATGTACACTCGGGGTCACAAAGGGATGACCACCCATCAAAATGGGGGCCACCCCACGTTTTTAATCTTGAAATTGGGAAGGGGAGCCGCACAATAAGTGAGGAAGGGAATCATGATCTAATTGGAAGCCAAAACTAATAAAATGCATGGGACCCTCCCATGTTTTATTTGAGGGAAATGCCAAAAGGGCATTCTCCATCAACAACCAAGCACCCCATCCGTATCACACAGCAACAAAGGTGAGAGAAGCTCTGCAAACCATCACCTTCTACATCCATTTTCGAACCAAAGCCAAGAGAGAAGAAGGAGGGAAAAGAGAAGAGGAAGAAGGAAGAAGACTTGAGGATTATCAAGGTAGCAACTCCATTAATCCCATTCCTTTTCCTTTAATCTTCCAATATGATTATGTAATCATATTTCATACCCATAGAACTGTTCTTCATATTAGATGTGAAGAATGAGGGGTTGGAAGGTTGGCTCATATCCAAAACGGATTTAGAGAATAAAGTTGACCGGTTTGCCGGGAAATAACCTTTTAGAGGTTATTTGTATTGATATGGGTTTTATGATGATAAAACCTTGTTATTTACTTGTATAAGGTATTCCAAGAACTTTCACGGAGTTGAAAGGGGTCGCCGGAGTTGTCGCCGGAGTTAGTTGAAGTTCACCGGAGTTTTACCGGAGCTCAATAAGGAAGGCTAGAACTTCATAAGCTTCTTTTAAGGTGAGAAGACGGCTATATGCTTTATAACTTTTGATTGAGGCATGAGATTACCTAAAGTAATCAAGGATATGTTTTACGGAATGATTAAAGTTAAGCAAGTATGGGCTTATGCCATGAATATATATAAAACAAAGTTGAAAGGCATGTTTGTATGTTTGGTGATTAAAAATGTGATAACTTATTATGTACAATGATCCAGGGGTCAAAAATGGTATTTTTGGATCAAGGACTTCAAGTAGAATGTGCATATAAAATTTCACGTTAATCGGACTTCGTTTGGGCGGTCAAACGGGCGTTGACCGCCGAGACAAGGGTGATACCCGACCGGGTAAGATGGATACCCGACCGGGTATTGAGTAAATTCGGCTCCAGAAGCCACTGCCACA